CCCCCCAGGGCCTGGCGGGGATCCCCCCGCACCCTGACAGGGATCCCCCTGCACCCTGACAGGGATGCCCCCCACCAGGTTCTGACAGGGATCCCCCTGCACCCTGACGGGGATGCCCCCCACCAGGTTCTGACAGGGATCCCCCTGCACCCTGACAGGGATCCCCCCCCCACCAGGGCCGGATCCCCCCAGCCTGGCAGCACCCACCCCTGCGCTGCCCGTGAAGGACACCCGGTGGGGGCCCAGCCCCAGTTCTCCCCACATAAGCCAGGGGTGCTACAGGCCACAGCAGGCTCATGTATCACCCTGTGGGTGCCACGCCAGCTGCTAACGCAGTGAGACGCAGCTCTCCAGGGAACACTGGCGATTCCTTTTAGCCAGCAGATCCTAAAGGCTCCGTGTCTGAAACCGTGTTATCGCCTGTCCTGATCGGGTCTGAGGGAATGCACTGGGAAGAAGCAGACACTGCGGTTTGAAGGGATGAGAAAACATCTCCAAGGACAGGGCTTCCAGGGAACGGATTGGTTTCCATGTTTTCATTTTCTATAAATACCATCTGCACAAACATTTCAACTTCCCCTTGGTAATTTAGGGGTAAAAATATTTACCAAAACCAAACATGTAGATGGAGCATTTTTTTCATGACAACCTGAAGCAGGTTTTTTGTTTCTATTTGCTTTAATCCCAGTAAGAGTTGAGGTGCTGGCTGGGGTGGCAGATGCTGATGGCAACAGCTCCCCATACCCTTATTTGCAGCAATGGGAAGAGGTAAACCTTACACTTCTGCTTCCTTCCTCTGCCCAAACCAGGGTCACACCTTGTGCCTTTCCTCTTCTTCCACCTCCTCCCCACACTGCAGGGTGCCAATCCTGTCCCCCACCCATCGCTGCTGGGCTGGGCAGAGCCTCTCAGCTCTGGTCCATATCTTCACACCATGGTCAACACCTGCTGCCGCTCTCCACTGGAAACCCCTTCCCAGACCACCAGTGGAGTGCACAGCATTGTTTGGGTACCTGTGGCTTGTTATATATTACACAGGAAGATCACACAAGTCCTAGTACTGTAGCAATGCACTAGGGCTGAGTTACAGCGTTAAGCACACAGGGTAATCAGTAGGTAGAGGTATCTAAAATTAGTTGCAATTTAAGCTTTTGTTCCACTGTGAATAGGGAAAGCTTGTTTCCCATGTTTAGACTTCCTAAAATAACAATTGTTTTACTACATATCCTATTGTGACATCCTGTGGTTAAACACAGTATTACAGATACTGTTAAATCACAATTTTGGCCACATGATTGCATAAAATTAGAAAATACAGAATCGGCTGTGGTAAGTCCTCCCTACACTACATATTCAGTTTGGCCAACTACAGCCTTCCACACATGACTTCGATCTTCTCCAGAAACTTCTCCTGGATGAAGGAAAGAAATCATATTGGGCCAAACATGAACATGGGATAGCGCATATATTTTGTTCTGTATTGACCAGAAACTACATTATCTCTGCCCTTTCAGATGAAAGGCCTACAGCTCAGTAAGTTGGTTGTTGTCCCTGTGAAGGACCATAAATCCACATTTCCTCTTAAGGCAGCATTTGTACTCTAAGGATTAAGCCTCTTTGAAGAGAAACAAGGGGCACACAACAGTCTTTGCACAACTGCAGTACACCTCAAGGTTGTATAAAGCAGATGCATTAACTGCACTTATGCTCACATCTCTTACAGTATTATCAAAGATGATTTTTCCCAGGTCAAGGAACACAGCAAACTGCTCTTCCTCCCACCTCAGCATTGGGCACTCATAGCTGCAGGTGATTCAAGGGACTGCAATTACCCTTCAGTTAGTCCTAAGCCAACACTCCAGCCCACCAGACCCAGCGTGCAGAGGAATGGCTCCAATGACACATGAAATTGAGGTCTTGACCCCCGACATCATCAGTAAGCCTTGGCATTTTTCTCACAATTAGCTGGATGAGAGGTCTACTTCAATCCCAGCTGAATTAGCATTGTTCATTAACAGCACATTTCCATTTCATCAACCTACAATATTTCAGGCCTCAAGCTAGGCAGCTGGATATTCATGCAGTTTTAAAGACCCAAGATAGCTGATTGATAGAGATAATGGATGGAACATATCTGTTGTCTTCACATGTTTAAGCTTTTCAGCTTAAGACAAAGTAGGCTGCCTAGACAATGCTGTATTTGTGTCCCATGTAATGAAAATGAGGCCAAAACAGTTAATGCTACTTCCTCTGACTTCCTTTTAACCCCAACTACAAAGAATGCCCATGCAAATCTAGGTTTCCATCTAAGGGGCAATAAATCATGAAGAATTACAGTGTGCATGCCTCTGTGAGCACTAGCCTTCACTGAACTGCTTAGGGAGGGCTTAGAAAAACCAGGTATGGCTTTATAAATCAAGTACTTCCAATAACATTCAGAAACCAAGGGGCAGATTACATAAAACTGGTTTTGTGTTGATGTATGCTGTTTGTCAAGCAGAATGCTGTATTGTCTGCCAGTTCATTTCCAAAAGGACTGAGACACCTGACAGGAGCTTATATTTCAGACTTTCATCTTGGGAAACTTAGCATGACCTAAGCAAAGCTGGCTGTGTTTCATACTAATTTTAGTCATCTTCCTACTGCCATTCCCCACTTTCCTCCACCCAGTGTTTTTCATAGTACTACAGCTCTCATTCCAAATATAGGAACAAGTAAAGTTGGCTTGGAAAGGGTGACAGTTTATTGTATGCATAGAACAGTATGATACAAAAATAACTTAATAGCATAGAAAATTTTAAAGACTTCTATAGAAAAGATTAACTTTAAAGTAGACAGAGGTTTGATCCAGATGTGAAGAGCCTCTACTATCTGCATCTGAAAGACACAAGAACACACCGTAAGAGTTACACAACTAAAGCTTTCAGTCACAAGGAGTTACACTGTGGCAGGGAAGGGCTTGGGCCGTTTATCCTAATTCAGATGCTTGCTGTACTTTCCTCAGCACCCCAAGGACATACTGTTTTTCCCAGAACTTGACCAAACCTCACACTGAGCAGGTGGGAGACCAGCCTGCTGTTACAACAGTTTGATGTCCTAATGCTTGTGTCTATATAGCTATTGTCATCACTACAGCAGGGAGAAGTGACAATTCACTTCTGCTGTCAGAACTGCTCTGCCACGTCCCCAACACCAATTAAAGGTCAACTACCAGCTCTAGAGCACTTAGTGCTATGACAGTGGCACTCCTACGCCATGTTGACACAAGACTATTTTTAAACAACCTTGTTCGTTTTTCTCATTCTACAGCTTGTACCTGTTGTGCTGAAGACTCCCATGAGATGGCACTCCAATTGCTCCCGTTGACTTCAAGGCAGTTTGGGAGGCTCTCATCAGAGCTGCATATCTACAAAGAAATACAACCAGGCTCAGCACCTCTTACGCATGCTGCCAGTAGTTTCACTCTTCCATCCAGTTTAATTATCTGCATCTGTCACACAAGTCTCACAGTCCTATTGCAGCAGAACAAGGAAGGCACATCTGCCCACAAGAGACAGATTTTTATTAAAGCTAAGTTTAAACTTTGCTTAGCAAGGTATTGATTTTGTTCTTTGTTATTTGAGGTCCTGGGAAAAAAATTAGGATTAATACTTAGACCTAGACCCCCAAAGGGTACTTGAGAGGGCAATGTGTATTCACAGTTAGGAGATACTGAGAGTCATGCTATCAAGATAGGTAAGCTTGGAAGAATTTTAGGAAGGCATTTCACAAGAAGCTTTTATCTTGGCTCACAAATTACACAAAATTAGGCCCAAAACAGAAAGAGGAAGTAGTGGCTATTTTCTTTAAAGTGACCAGTGGTTTACAGAATTCCCCATTTGTCTGAGCTCCCCACCAACCCCCGCTGATAGCTCTGAAATTTCAGCTTGAGCTCAAAGAGTCACAAATACAGCTTACCCTGCCTTGGAGGTGGGATGGCTGCTCCCTTTACAGTCGTGATCCAGAGGATGCCGATGTTTTATGCAAAAGTTGCCACCACACTGTTCACAAACTACCCTCATCATCTCTTTCCTTTTGCAGCCCGGCTTTAAGCACTTGTTTGTGAAGATCTAAATAACAGAAGACAAAGTTGGCAATGCTTGCTTGCTTTCTGTGATCAGCTTCCCAAGCAATGGCCAAGCTGAGGCACGAATGCTCAAGCACCCTTAGAATTAAGATGAAACAGAGCAAGCTTCTACACGTTCTGCTGTCAGAAGACCTGACTTCACAAACATTAGGTGGGCAGTTTAGATTTCGACAGCAGTTTCCTTACCCTCTGCTTTTGCTGTGCTGGATTGTATTTACAGTCCTTATCCATGTGGGCTCCGACCACAATATCTGGTATTTCCCCCTTCTGAACTGGGACAGGGGCATTGCAGAGTGGACACACCGGAACCTGCACATTCTAAAAACAAACAACACAGATCAGAAGTCCCACCCAATTATTTTTCTGTCCCTCCCCCTTCTCTTACCCACAGGTGACAGAAATGTATTCACAAGTGTTTTATGTTCTACTCATTTACTAATGCTCTTACAGGTATACTTCACAAAGGTAACTGCAAATCATTATCCAAAAAAATAGCCAGGCCTCCTTTGTCAAATCAATTCATAGCAACATACTCAGTAGGTTGACTTGGAATATGCTTCCAGGCTTTGTGGAATTACAGCCTTTGAACACTTCAAAGCCCAGATATGAGCCAGAAATCAAGGTTTGGCCCCGCTTACTCTTATTTCTGCTGTAGTTGCATGTGTGCTGTCCTTTAACTTAAAGGACTGGGGCTGCAGAAAGCTTTAGGCCACAATACATTACTTAAAACATCAAGCACTCCTCTGGGAAGATGCAGCGGAAGTGAAGCTAGCTAGAATCTAGCAGTATTGACCGCTGAGGCGTTACATTTCTATATATTTGAAATCCAGCTGTATCATTAACTTGCATTTGTGGTTCTCCCATCCACTTTTATTGAAACCACAGGCCAAGTTTCAGAACAGGTTTTATAAACAGCTTAGCAATTCTGCAGTGTGAATTACTGAGTCATGAGTATAGGAACTTACTTTCTTGTAGGCAGATCTACACTCATGGTCATCATAACGGATGTGATTTTTACAGAAGACTTCCCCACATGCATCGCACTTCAGAGGAAGAAAGTCTGGAAGAATAAAAAAAGAAAATGAGATTTGCATGGAGCAGAGACAACAGCCATAAGAGTACTTGCAAAAGACTACAAAAGTCCTAAAGCAAGCTTTTGTCTAGTGACAATCCCATTATCTTTAGAGAAGCATATCATTCTTCATTAATATTAAAACTAAAAAAGCAAGAGTGGTAAGTTTTGCCTCCTTTATCCAGCACTAGACTAGCACAAGCCATAAGTACCTCAGCAGCTCCCTGAACGGAGAAACTTCCAGTGAGCTGTGAGTCAAGAGCTAAGGGCTGAAATACAAATCCAAAGCCCAGACTCAAAAGTCTTTTTTATTCTTTAGAAACATCCCTGAAAAGTTTAACAGCATAGGGGAAAACAAAGTACACCGGGCTCACCCACCGCCCTCTTACTGGGCCTATTTAGGAGGGCGCCCAGCCCCGGTACCTGCTGCTAACCAGAGCGCCCCGTACAGACCGGGGTGCAGGACTCGGTCCCCCCGGGCACAAGCGATCCACCCATCA